CCCCCGTGTCAACCACCAACTGTCCTGATTTGTCCTGCAGGAGCCTGTGTTGCTCTGAGCTTTCCTTTTGCCTGCTATATACCTGAAGAAGGACTTTTTATTGTCCTTGATTGTTGAAGTCAGCCTGAGCTCAAGCCCCACCTTGGCCTGTCCAACTGATTCCCTGCAATAGCGCGCCAGGGAGAGAGATTCCTCCTTGGTGGCTGCTCCCTGCTTCCATTGCCTATACATCTCTTTCTTTGCCCTCAGACTCTCCTGGAGTTCCCTGTTCAGCCAAGGGGGCTTTTTTGCCCCCTCACCTCCCTTCCTATGTAATGGGATAGACTCCTTTTGAGCCCCAAGGCTCACTCCCTTGAGATACCTACTCAGTTCATAAATTTACAGATTTTGTGGAAACCACAAAATGAGACATTGTCCACTAAATCTGCACCCCCCCCCCCCCCAAATAAAATGCTGTCCCCCCTTGAGTCGGGGGCCCTTAGCCCGGCTGCACAACTTACTGGGGGGAGGGGGAGCCACTGGCACAAAGGGGAGCAGCCAAAATGGCTGCTCCCTCCCTCTTGCAGCTGGGGCTGCCCATCGTGTGGCCCTGCCCCCTCCACCAGTCTGTGACGATGGGAGGGTCTGCCCTCCCTTACCAGTCAGCAGTGAGGGGTGGGGCCAATGGGGGCTTCTAGGCCAATTGTGGGGGAGGGGACTACTGCAATTTGCCTGCAAAAATGGCAAATGGCCCTGCAGTTGGCCTGTGAAATCAGCTGCTGCCTTGATTTTGGTAGGTTCCTAGTTATAAATCTTCAAAATAGTTGCTGGACTCTGCTACATGGGTCATCTAAAGCAGAGGCGGCCAACTTGCAGTGCACATAATTACAGGTGGCGCAGGCAGCTTGTGTTTGGCATATGGCACATCAGGGAATGGACAGACAGTATGATGGCAGATAGGGCAGGAAGCAGAAAGTAGAACAGTACATCAGAAATAGAGCATGGGGTAGGCAGCAGGAAGCAAAGCAGCAGATTGGGAAGGGCAGAGTGGGTATGCAGCACAGGGCTGAGGGCAGAAATCAGATTGGGCAGGGAAAGGGGATTGTAGTGGCACATAGAGAGGTTGTAGGGTTAACTTTTGGCATGTCTGCCAAAAAGTTTGGCCCCCATTGGTTTAAAGATTAGTTGCTGCTCACTTTTTTTGTTTAAAGAAAGGAATTTCCATTCCGTGATCTTACACCGGTGTATTCATAAACACTTGTGCATCAAGTTGTAAGTTAATTCATAATATAACTTTGTTTAGTTCTTGTACTTATAGGCAGATGTCTCTAGCCGACCATCTTCTGAAGGACCAGTCCTTGCGGAAGCAGAACAACAGATTTTACGCGATTTAATGAGTGATGCTATGGAAGAAATTGAGATCCATCAAGCTGCTTCCCCCATTAAACCACAATCTAATGGTAGGGGTAATTAGGAAACATAGGCAAAGGTTTCTAATACAATACTAATTCATTAACTTGAATTTAATACAAAATACTGGTATCTATTAGTGCAGACTTAAAGGTAGAAAATCAAGCACTGTAAAGATCAGGAAATTCCAGACATTAGGATTCCTTCCATACCTCTTTTCCAATGTTTGTGCATTGTACAAATAATGATGTTAGTGACCTATTTGAAAAGGAAAATAGGAATTGAAAGTCCTACATTTGGTGCACTACATTAGCTCAGCTAACAGGGATGGGAATGCACTTCTGTGATTTCAAATCTGTCGAGTGCCACATTTCTCACTTTCAATATAAGTATTCTTAAGAAATCACTTAAGATTTAAAGCAGCTAGAACAGCAAGCCATTAACTTAGCCTTTTGGGATGCTGGACATTACGGGTATTGACACTGACAAATAACAGCTATCAGGTGTAAAGTGGTGAGATATACCACATGGAGTAGGACAGAGGTGGCCAACCTACGGTGTGCATGTGCCACTGGCAGCCTCTGTATGTGGCATGCATCAGATCAAGGAGGGGACAAGCAGCACAATGGTAAGTAAGGCAAGCAGCAGAAAACAAAACAGCAGATGAGGCAGGAAGCACAGGGCAGGAAGCAAAAAGCTGAGCAGCATGTTGGGTAAGGGAATGGTATCAGAATGGCACTCAAATGAATGCAGGGGTAATTTGCATTATGCCTGCCAAAAAGGTTGGGCCCCTTCTGGAGTCAGAGATCAGGGGTCCCTCCAGAGCTGTAGAGGCAGGTCAGGAGGGTGGAGGAATCTGTAAAATCAAAGAAATAACTTGTGTCTAGGAAAATTTTGTAGGGAGGAACAATCACTGTTAGCAGAAAGAACAAACTGATTAACTGCATTGGAGGATTATTATATCTGTGCAATTTAGAGCTACATCAAGATTGAAATTAGTCAAAGATATTGTGTTGCATAAGGTCATGGGAAAGAAGCATAGCTTTGTTCTCAAGTACATGGTAGGGAATGGAGTGTCAGAGATCGCTGTCAAGAGTCATTTGATTATTATCTGTTAACTTTCTACATTCAAGTTTCTCTTGTCTGATCTTAAAGGAAGACATCAATTTTCATGCCTTTTTAAGCAAGATGACAAACAAGAATTATAAAATTAAGATATAGCTCTGGTGATGACTACTACTAAATTGTCTTGAGGTTTTTAGTGGATTAATTTTATTTTAGGAATTAATTTAACCATATAATGTGAAAATTCTGTTCCTGATGTGTTTGCATTTTAGATAACTTCGACCTGTTCGAACCATTATTTACCATAGTGACTCAAGTTTGATGAGTTTTCTCTTCCAGTCATCATGGGGATAAAATACCCTCATCTTAGATTCACATATAAAGTTGAGGGGGAGGCGAGGCAGGCAGTTGTTGTGTCTCTGCCTCTGAGCTCAGGTTACAGTCAGACCCACACCAGCCTTTTGCCGCCCCCCCCTTTGTCAGGCACGGTTCAGCTCTGGCTTGGGTTGGGGTCCCTCCCAGGCACGGATCACTTACAAACTCTGTCCTCTGCCCACCCACTCAGCAGCACTGATACTGCTGCATGGCTGGCGGACTGCCCTTCCATGTGCTGTGCTCTGGAAGAGAGCACAACCCAAGCAGTGTCTGACAGTAAAGGGGGTGGGGAGGGGAAGTGGCAAAACCTGAGGAGCAGGAGGCAAAGGATTGAGATTGTGGGGAGTGGGAAGGATGGGGCAGAGACTGTAGGGAGCTGGGGGTGGTGGGTAGGGGAGTACTGGTATCAGGGAGGGGCAGGAAAGCTGCAGAAGGAAAATTGGTGGGGATAGAGGGCAAGGGGGCCACCTGACTCCCTCCAGTTGTATGATTTCCCCCTAGCCACTGTTTTCCCTGCTGTAGCCGGGGGGGGACGACAAATTTTAAGACAACTCTCCAATAATTAGATTTTAAACCTGGAAAATTTTACTAATTTATTGGGTTTTTAAAATATGGAATCTATTTATTTGAGGGCCATCTTAAATTCAGGGTCAGCTTAGATTTGAGTTAGATATGGTACAAATTCCCGGTTGTTAATTCTGCAATCTGTAGCATCTTACAAAGATATTTATATTAAAATGCCTTTCTTCGTTTTCCAGGAATTTTGAATGAGAAATCTCAAACTCGAGAGCCGTCTTGCTCAGATCTCTTTCTGTTTCCTGATGAAAGTGGGAACATCTCACAAGAACCAAGTCCCACTTATTCTTTTACTCACCACTTGATAAATGAGGCAATGGGAGATGTACCTACTGAAAATGATGACTTCTGCATTCTCTTTGCACCCAAGGCTGCTGTGTCTGTAAGATGCTTCTAATATTGTTAGGAAATCCAGGTGTACACTGAATTGAGAAAAAACACATTTTAGACCTGTGCAGTTTGTAACTTCTTGCTGATATTTCTATGGATGCTAATGGGAAGTCACTGGGCAGATGGAAAGATAAGAACATTGACTTAAAACATAGTCAGTCTTCACTTTTCTTATCATATCTTCAATAAACTACAGCTCACGGGTTGCTGCCTACTGCACAAGCTGGAATGAGCTCTAGGCTTCTGATTGGAAGAAGGCTTTACTTCAGGGGTGGGCAATTAATTTGGGCGGAGGGCTGCTTACTGAGTTTTGGCAAGCCATCAAGGGCCACATGACAGGCAGCTGGGGCAGATAAATATTAATTTTCTAAATTTTTTAGGGGCTCCGTGAGCTAGTTAGAATGGCTTGGCGGGCTGCATTTTGCCCACCCCTGCTTTACTTGGTTCACACCCAGATGCTGCATATCCGGAAGAGCTATCAATGCTGATGCTACTAATGATGATATTTCCTCTCAGTGTATTTGTCTAATTGTTAGGTATATCGGGTATCTCACCAAGGACTTAGTCTAGGGGCCATAGAGTCATTCCCAAAACAGCAATTAGTGGAGCTGTGTTCCACAGTTGTTATAATAAAGAAGCAGAAGGACTCTGGTTTGTTTCCATGTTGAAAAACTTATTTTCTTCACTCGGGTATCTTACATTCTTCATTTTCTTCAACTTTTTTTTAGGAAAAGGAGGAGGAGCCTGTAGTGAAAGTAATGGTTGATGATCCCATTGTGGTAAAAGAAAACCATTTCAGCCAGCCTCTAAAAAAAACAGATACCAGCAAAGCCCCTCTTCATTTTCCTATCCCTTTGGTACGCTATGTTGTGAAGGAAATCTCTCTTATTTGGCATCTCTATGGAGGAAAGGATTTGGGGCCTGCACCTCCTACTTCTCCAGCTAAGAGTTTTATGTAAGTGGTTTAGGTAGCTAAATATTTCCTTTTCAGATCCACAGATTCTGCATTTGAACTGAAATTGAAATTACAGGCTGCATTTTTTTTCAACAATATTTTGTTAAAACTCTGGAATGTATTTTTCCTACCTCTTGTTCTGAATGAGTCTAAATTTGTTTATTTTCAAAATTAATTGACAACCCAATGTATTCTGCCAGGCTTTCCCTGCATGAGAAGGTCTTGGACATGTGTGTGGCATGACATTGTGATAAATGAATTTTGTCTTGAGGACATTATCTGAGCTAATGGAAGAGTGAACATTATTTTGGATAGACTTGGAAAGTGTTTTTTTTTATGATCTGAAATGAAAACTTATTCAGTGCAGACCCCTTCATTTATTAATATTTTTAAAAACCTAGAGTTGTGTGGGTATTCATTATAGTGAAAGAGAAAATACATTTTTAGCTGAAAGAGACAGCATTTTTTTTCTTTTTTAACCCTAAAAATATTTAGTAAAATCTAGGAAAATGTGCCTGCTTGTGTGGCTGGGGATAATATGAATTAAGTTTCAATTTTAATTGGGAAAAATCCTCCTGTATTTTTTTTCTTCCAGTAGTCCTCATAGTTCTCCTTCTCACACACCAACAAAACATGGACGTAGCACTGTATGTGGGGGAAGAAGAAGAAACCCAGATTTCTTGATGGAAATACAGTTAAGTAAGGTAAGGTGATAAAAAATCTGTTGATATAACAATGTATGTTCCTATATCTGTATCAGGGGCTTATGTATCCCGCCATCTTTATAAGCCCTGATGATCAGCTGTGACTCCATGAAGCTAGAAGGCTTATCTAGATGCAGAAATCATTTAAAAACAAATATGTGAATGGCCAATTTACAACTTTGTTATGTGTGTCATGTTACATGGTTGGCATAGTTCAACTATTTTGTTTAGGAAATTGCTTCAGAAGAGGGAAGTGGAGCATTTATTTGCTTTTACTCCTTAGGTGATGCATTGTTTTGAAAGTTTCAGCTTTTACCCACTATCGTGGCATGGGATGATACAACATTACTAATTGTAAATTTGAAATATCTATTAAAGATATTTTGGCAGTTTCCCTGGAATGTTATCATTAAAACTGTCGGTTAAGCCCCATAATTTGATGTTCGGTTATTTGCTCTACAGGCATCATCATTACCATTTCCCACTACAATTAATTATTGTGAGGAGAAAACTCACACTACTAACCTTCTTATTTTAGAAACATAGGAGGGTAGGGCTAGAAGGATCCTCATAACATCATCTAATTTAGCCCCCTGCTCAAGGCAGGATCGTCCCTGACAAATCCATCCCGGCCAAGTCTCTGTCTAACCTGCTCTTAAAAATTTCCAAGAATGGAGAGTCCACAGTTTCTCCTGATAGCCTCTTCCAATGTTTGACCACACTCGTAATCAGAAAGTTCCTCCTAATCTCCAACCTAAATTTCCTCTTCTGCAGCTTGACACCATTGCTCCTAGTCCTGTGCTCTGCAGCCATAGAGAATAGCTTATCTCCATCCTCTCTGTAATCACCCTTCAAGTATTTGAAGACTTACCAAATGCCCTTTGTCTTCGCTTCTCCAGATTAAATCATTCTAGTTCTTTCAGTCTTTCCTCATAAATCCTGCTTCTGAGGCTTCTAATTGTTTTGTTGCTCTTTGCTGGACTCTCTCCAATCTGTCCACATCCTTCTTGAAGTGTGGGGCCCAAAACTGGACACAGCATTCCAGGTGAGGCCTTACAAATGCCAAATAGAGGGAAGCATCACTTTTCTTGATTCGTAAGCAGTACTTCTGTTAATACAACCCAGTATGTTGTTTTTTGGGGGTTTTTCTTAACAAGAGCATACTATTGGTTCATATACAGCTGATGCTCTTCTGTGACCCCCAGGTCCTCCTGTACAGTACTGCATCCTAGCCACTCATTCCCTAGTTTGTATTCATGCAGTTATTCTTTCCCAAGTGTAGGACTTTGCAGTTCTCTTTGTTGAATTTCATCTGGTTGGTCTCAGACCATTTCTCCAGTCTATGCAGGTCATTCTGGATCATAGCCCTACTCTCCAGAGTGTCTGCAGTTCTAACCAAATTAGTATCGTGTGCAAATTTGCTAAGCATGCACTCAGTCATATCTCCCAAATCATTAACGAAGATATTGAACAGTACCAAACTCAGGACAGACCGGTGGGGAGCTCCACTTGATACCACATCCCACAAGCCATTGAGTCATTTATGACTGCTCATTTAGCACAATTCAGCCAGTGAGTCAACCAGTTTTTTATCCACGTTGTAGTATTTATGTCTGGTCTGTATTTCCTTAGTTTGTTAATGCAAATGCTGTGGGAGACCATATCAAAGCCCTTGCTAAAATCAAGGTATAACCCATCTATTTCTTTCCTCCAATCCACAGAGCCTGTCATATTATTATGGAAAAAATCGGGTTGGTCAGACATCACTTGTTATTGTTCTCCTCTAGGTGCTTCATAATAGATTCCTTGACCTACTCCATGAGTTTTCCTGGTACCAAGGTCAAACTGACTGGTCTTCAATTCCCTGGATCCTTCTTCCTTTTCTTAAAAATGGGCACTGTATTTGCTATTCTTCTGGGACCTCACATGACCTCCGTGATAACCAGTGGCTCTGCAGTTACCTCAGCCAATTCCCTTAGTACTATAGGTTGCATCCCATTTGCCCTGTTAACTCCAACTTCTGGCTTCTCTAAATAATCCCATACCTTTTCTTCCTTTATTCTAAGTTGTCTGTCTCCTTTCCTATCTTTGCTAACTGCTGTCCTCATCTGTTGGCTTATTCTGTTTGTGAAGACAGAAGAAAAAAGCCATTAAGTACTTCAGCCCTCTGCATCATCCATAACTGGGTTGCCTTCTGCATTCTGTAAGGGACCAGTGGTTTCATTGGTCGTCTTATTTTTTACATTAGTTGTAGAATTCCTTTTTATTGCCTTTTATGTGTCTTACCTGTTGTAACTCAAATCATGCCTCAGCCTTCCTAATTTTTTCCCTGCGTGTCCACACAGTACTCTTATAGTTGTCCCTAGTTCTGTGTCCAAGTTTCTACTTCTTGCAGCATTGCTTTTTGAGTTTCAGCTTATTGAAGAAACTGCTGTCTGGCTAGGCTGCTCTTCTGCTGCACTTCCCATTCCTCCGTTGCATCAGAATAACTTGCTTTGCACCCTTTAATAGGGCTTACTGGACTCTTTGTCATCCAGAAGATCCTCCCCACTAATTCCCTCAGTTTATTAATGTCTGCTTTTCTGACGTCCTGTGTCTTTATTGTGCTTTATTCTTCTTCTTTCCTCTCCTTCAGATCTTGAGCTCTTATCATTTCATGGTCACTGTCTCCCACTGTTACTTTCCATCTTCACATTCTCAACCAATTCTTCCCTGTTTGCGAGCAGCAAGTGGAGAATAGCTTCATCGGTAGTTGGCTTCCCTTCCATCTTTACCAAATGTTGTCCCCAGCATAGTCCAAGAACTTGCTGAACTGCTTGGGCTCTGCTGTTTCCCTTCCAGTAGATGTCCCTATAATTAAATGTGTCCCTGAGAATTAATACTGTTTAGTTACTTTTAAATCATAAACTCAGCTCTAGCATGGAAGTTAAATGTTTGTGTTACCCTAAGAAAAATGTCATTAGCTACAGGCAATTCAGATGAAACTTAAAGTGAATCTATTAAATAACAGAACCTATTCTTCATTTTTACCAATGCCTTGTAAAGCATCTTTGACACGATCCTTTTCTGGGAATCTATCATACTGCTAAAAAGGAGAAAACAAAGAGTTAGAGGTTCCAAATAAATATTTCACTGATGATCCTGTAAAATTTGATGGTTGCTCTTAAATTGTTGCAGATGCTTTACATGTTGTTTCTAAGGCTTAGTGTGTTAAAGCGTTCCCCTCTTAAGATTCATAGAGTCATAGGTTGTAAGGCTGGAAGGGACCTCGGAAGTTCATTGGGGTCCAGCCTCCTGCACCAGGCAGGAAAAATGACAAGTGGGGTTAGGTGACCCCAGCAAGATGACTGTCCAGTCTCCTCTTGAAGATTTCTAGGGTAGGTGATTGCACCACCTCTGGAGGGAGCTTATTCCCCAGTCTGGCAACCCTAACTATGAAGAAATTTTTCCTAATGTTGAGTCTGAAACAGTCTTCCAGGAGTTTGTGGCCATTACTCCTGGTTTTCCCCAAGGGCACCCTGGTGAACAGTTGTTCCCCGAGCCCCTGATGTACACCCCTGACGTAGCGGTAAGCTGTTACCAAGTCCCCTCTCAACCTTCTCGCTTTCAGGCTGAAGAGTCCCAGGTCCCTTAGCCTTTCCTTGTATGGCTTGCCATGCAAGCCTCTAATCATACGGGTGGCCCTTCCCTGGACTCTCGAATTTTACCATGTCCTTGTTAAAAAGTGTAGTGTCCAGAACTGGGTGCAGTACTTCAGTTGGGGTCTCGCCAGTGCCAACTCAACTGGAAGAATCATCTCCTTGGTCTTGTTGGAGATGCATCGATTGATGCGTGCCAGAGTATTATTTGCCCTGCTAGCAACAGAGTTGCACTGCCGGCTCATATTCATGCTGTGGCCTGTTATTACCCTCAGGTCTCTTTCATTCGTAGAGCTGGTCGGGTTAGCATTGCCAAGCCTGTAGTTGTGCAGGGGATTGTTCATCCCCAGGTGGAGCACTTGATATTTCTCGATGTTGAACTTAATTTGGTTCTGACACGCTCAGCTTGCTAGCCTGTCTAGATCTGCCTGCATCTGTAGCCTATCTTTCCCATAACTTGGTGTCATCTGTGAACTTGGCCAGTGAGTTCTTCACCCCCTCATCCAAATCATTTATAAAAGTACAGGACCAAGCACCAACCCCTGCGGGGCACCACTGCCCACTTCTCACCAGGACAACACAGATCCATTCATTAGGACTCTCTGGGTCCTACCCTGAAGCCAGCTTCATACCCACCTAACAGTCTCACAGTTAAGCCCACTGTCTTCCAATTTTCTCGTGAGAACATCGTGGGATACCAGATCAAAGGCTTTTCAAAGTCAAGGTATACAGTATCCACCACTTCTCTCTTATCCAGGTGGTGAGTTACCCGATCGTAAAAGATGAGGTTAGTAAGATAAGACATGCCACGATGAAGCCATGCTGGCTGTCGTTCAGAATCCTATCTTCTGCAAGCCTATCGCACATAGACTCCTTAATGAATTTTTCAAGGGTTTTCCTTCAGATAGAAGTTAGGCTAATTGGCCCATAGTTACCGAGGTCCTCCCTCCTCCCCTTCTTGAAGATGGGCACAGCATTGACCCTCTTCCAGCCCTCGGGGACTTCCCCAGAGCGCCATGAGTTTTGGAATGGTTTTACCAGGGGCTCCGCGATGATGTCGACGAGCTCCTTCAGCACTCTCGGATGGAGTTAATCCAGTCCTGCTGACATATACACCTAATTTCTTTTATTGATCAAACATCAGTTCTTATGGCTACAGTAGGAAGGCAGTCATTTCTGCCCTGCTTATTCTATGTCCTATCTGGCATGACTTTCCTTGTGGCCCGGTGAAATACCGAGGCAAAGTAGTCATTCAAGGGTTCAGTTTTCTCCTCGGTGTCGGTAACCAGCTGTCCTGAGTTGCTGAGCAGTGGCCCCACACTCCCATTTGTTTTCCTCTTGTTCCTTATGTACCTAAATAAGGACTTTTTGTTGTCCTTGATTCTCATTGCTAATCTAAGTTCAGTCGCCACCTTAGCTTTTCTAATTTGTTCCCTACAAGTGCGAGCCATTGTTGTTGTTCTTTTTTTGTTAAAGTGGTGGTGCAGGGACGTGCCACAATTATTATGCTTATGCAAAGATAGTAACATAAAACAAAGATGTTTGCTCAAAAAAATCTTGCATTTTTGATTCTGTGATCAAATGCAGATGATTGCTGTGGAAGTTAATGATACTCTGTTTAGGGATGTAAATATCCCACTGCCATGGGGAGGGAGGGGGAGAAGGAGGTGATCAGCCCCTTGCGTGGTGAGCACCCCAGGGCATCCCTCATGGGCAGCAATGCAGCAGGGATCCTGGGGCATTAGGCTGCAAGAGCAGCCCCCCCAGGCTGGAACTGCTTTGTCACCACCCCTCAGGAACGCTCTGGAGCTGTGTTCATCATGTGAGGGGCTGGCAGCGACCCCTCAGACCCAGCGCCACCTGCTCCAGCTGCCACAGTACCTCCTTGAACTGAGCCAGCTGTGCACTCAGCCCCACCACAGGGCTGGGCCAGACCATGTGCGGTCTCAGTGTTATGGCCGGATGAGGGAAGGATGCAGTGTGCCCAGCAGAGGCTGCCCTACTGGGACCAGATCCCCACTTCCTCTGTGGTGAGATGGGGAGGGCCTGGCCTGGCAGCATGGAGGAGCCTCCCAGGTCCAGGCCACAGCAGTACTAGTGTTGCAGGAGGCAGAGGGAACCCATTACCCTACCAGTGCCCTGTTGCTGTAGGCAGGGGCAGGCAGACCCACCATGTCGCCAGAAGTCCCGCTGCTGTGGTAGTAAGGCCCTGACTGATCCCTTTGGAGAGCCCAGCACCTTCCTCCTCCCCGTGCCAGTGGTTTCAGGATCCAGGCACAAGATAGGTCTGCAGCTGCGGCTCTGTCCACAGCTCCAGCCCCTGCCATTGGGGGTGAGTGGAAGCTACAGCTCCGCAACTGGGCAGCACCCCCTAGTGGCTCAGCTGTGCCTGCTGCCCCCTGCGCCTGTGGCTTGCTCTCTGCCAGTGGCTTTGGACCTGCACACCACTAAGAGCACAGTGAAGATGTAATGGGTCAGGGCTGTTCCTGACAGAGGTTGCTAAATGGTAAATGGCATAAGTAGAATTGTCATTTAACTGTTTACATCCATAACTGATATCTGCATTGCCAATATCCACAATGTTATTGCAAGTATCCTGGATAGAGATACTATTCAGAGGCCACTACTCCACTTCCTTTGCTGCAGTAATTGGAAGGCAAGGAGATAGCTAGAGTTTGTAAGGTAGAAGGGAAGAGAGTTAAATGAATCCAAGTAGGGAAAAAGGACTACTCGGGCTGCTGTAGAGATGGACTATATGGAGGGGAGGCTGCTAGAGTCTGCAGGGAGAGGAGGAAAGAACACTGGAAAGATGTGAGGGGTAAGGGTTAGAGCTGTAAGCAATATGGATGAGGAGCTAGAGTGAAAGAAAAAGAAAGTGACGCAAGATAAGAAAATTGTTAGCTAAGAAGGGCAAGCAAGGGCGTGAGTTTTCTGAGAATGCAAGTCACTGGAGCAGGCCCGTTCTAAAAGTTTACTTGCACTCAAGCTGCCTATGTCCTTCTTCCTTTCTGTTACAAGGTGAAATTCCAACACGAGGTGTACCCTCCAGTTGGGCCAGAATGTGAATCCAATCTACTGGAGCAGCCGGTGTCCAGGCAGGTTTTTATTGTTCAGGACCTGGAGATCAGAGATCGCTTGGCAACATCACAAATGAATAAATTTCTCTATCTCTACTGCAGTAAGGAAATGCCCAGAAAAGCACATTCCAATATGGTACGATTGTGAAATTTTGTCCTTTGGGTATTAATTTAATCAAACACTTTCATTCTGAGAATAGTCTTAGCTTCTAGATGTTGCAGAACAGGGCGAGTGAGTTCATGAAACATTGTAAGAATGTAGGCATTTTGTCAGTGCTGACTATTATCTTAATGTCCTGCCAATAGAGAAATGAATGCAAAGTCCATTCTGTTAATAATCTATCAGACATTACTATTGTTAGAAGTATATAGTTATGCACAAGATTATTTAAACTCCACTATCTGTTCATACTTTTAAGCATGCGTTACCTTGTATGTGTACATTTGAAGTTCCGTTGTAGGAACATGATTCAACGGAGAGTGTGGAGAGTTTACATTGGTAGCTTTCCTATGAATCTTCTGACATGCTAAAGTCCAGGATAAATTACATGACCATTATTCCCTTTATAATTAGCAAATGGGATCTGGGTCAGAAGGATAGGGGTTGTAGACATTTCAGGGTATGAATGCAATGTAAACGTTTTTGTATTGACTGATGGTCTGAAGTTTTTGATTGTTTTAAGTGTGCTGAGTTTCTCTCTCTTGCTTGTTTTGCAGTTAACAGTTAAAGCATTACACGTCCGTCCAGAGTCTGGCAGATCACCACAGGAATGTTGTTTACGAGTGTCATTAATGCCACTTCGCCTCAATATTGACCAGGTTGGTGGTGCAGAAAACACTAGTGATTAGATTAATCATCATTGTGCCCTTTGAATTGTACAAGTTCTAAAAGCTTTTCAGGAAATTAAAATTATTAGAATTGTTTTATCTTTGTACTTGTAACCCAGTACACATTTTCTGGAATTTCTGGCTTAATACCTGTTAACAGTAAATTGTATGTAACTTTGCATCTCAGCTGCTCCATGTAATCTCATTGTACACAGATAGATCCATCTTATGTGAAGAATCTCTTTTAAAAAAAAGTCTAACCAACATAACGGCTAGATTTTTGTATATAAAAATAACTGTGAACAGAGAAGACCATTCTCTTTAAGATACCAGTTCATTTAATGAACCATGTGAAAAATTTAGTCCATGAAACGAGACACTATTTTGTGAGTTGGTAACAATTTTAAAATAGATGGCTTGTCATATTGATAAAGTCTCTTGAATTGAAATCCAATAACCCTGAATTCTAGAGTATTACTTCAGTTAGTTAAAGCACTTGATATTGTATGACTTTGCGTGCTACAAAGCCTTTGCTCTTCGTCAGTGTTAGCACATGTTTAGTTCATTAACGGCAGTGTGTGCTGGAAAAACATGAAAGAAATTCGTTTTAAGCAAAAAACGATAGCTAATTAACATCTACTGTGTACTATGTAACCACTTAAGCTGGAGGTTCTTCCTTTCTCCAAACAGGAAGATATCCCCAGGCATTCCATTGTAAAAATATAACTAATTGTTTTTGATAGAAATGGGTGAGGCAGACCAGAAGAGTGTTTCAGAAACTGCCTTCTATAGAAAAAGAAAATTTTAAGGGTATACATGACAGTTGGATATCCTCCCACTGAAAAGCACTGGAAGTTGTTATCTGACTGTTGTTTGTGCCTTTTCAAAATTTTTCCCTCTGGGGTCAGTAGTATTTTCATGTAATATCCACACAGCGTAGAACTAGAGCAAAGCTGTCCTACTGGCAGGTTAGGTTTTGGCTACTGCTTCCCCTGTCACTCCGACAGCAGTCAGGCACTCCCGATATCCCCATCTCTTCTCCCTTCTCCCCTCTCTTAGGGGGTGGGGCAGTGCAGCACACAGTATGGGGAGCAGAGGATGAGTTCAGGATTTTCTGCTTTAGGCTGGGACCTTGGCAGCTGGAAACAATGTATTGCACTCTTGAAAAAAGCAAATGCAATTCTAGGACATAGATAATCTATTTTCAGTAGAATTAAAGAAGGAATAATACTAGTTTATTAATAACACCAGTGACACTTATGATTCTTCATCTTGAATATTATATACAGTTCTGGTCACCCATATTTAAAAATAACTAATTCACACTGAAACAGGTACAGAGAAGGGCTTTGAGGATGGCCAAGAGAATGGAGACCTTATGCTTGAGGTGAATAAATGACTTTGGTTTGCTAGGCCTAACACAAGAAAAGCTGAGAAGAGGATATGAGTGTTGTCTATAAATGACTCAGGAATTAACACCAAGAAGGGAATAGAAGTGTAGCAGCTAAAAAACAATGTTCGCACAAGAGCAAATGGGTACAAGTGGCCCATGAATAATTTTAGGCTGGAAATTTAGAAGAAGTTTCTAACCTTCAGAGGATTAAAGTTTTGAAACAGCCTTTCAATAGGGCAGTGAAGGGACAAACACATAAGTAGTTTTGAAATGAACTTTTATTATTTTGTCAGAAGGATGATGTAAGGTTGTTGCTTGTAAGACTAGGGGACTCAACTAAATGACTGAAAAGGTCCCTTCTACACCTGAGAGATTTTGAGATCACTACTAAAGTGTGTCCCCTTTTTAATGCAACAATAAAAAAATCCAGGATTGTGGATAGTATTTTTCAGAGACTTATAGTGGTTTGTATTCTTTTAGCCTGATTGTATCATATATCTTTACTTTAGGATGCCTTGTTTTTTCTGAAGGATTTTTTTACTAGCCTTTCTTCAGAAGTGGAACTATTAACTACGCCAGATCCAGAAGGTAGATTTATTTATCTAATTCTATAACTCCTGCTTATAATCTCTTTCTCTTCAAGCATATATATGAGTAAACACACATACACTCTGCCATATATGTGTGTCTTAGTACATTAGTTGTTTAGCTACATGGATTAACCATACAGAGCTTTGTGAAGGGTTTGGTAATTTTGTATTCTTGAGTTCCTTGGGTATTTACACAGGTCTTCAGTCTCTATTAAAAGCAGGCAAATACTGTTTCAAATTGGGCACCCCAAAACTATAACGTTGTTAATGAACACTACAGAAATTGTTGTAATGTGTATGTTTCACAGAATCTATAGACGGACAAAAAAAATGCATGCTTTCTTTCCTTTTCTCCTAAAGTGCATCAGTAATTTAAAGTTAAGTACCAGTCTTGGAGAAGGACTCTGTCATAGGTTTATATACAAGCAATATGAACTTTGTAACACATTAAAGTAATACTTCAGTCCAGCAGTGAGGAATTAAGGGTTTTTTTCTTTTTTTAACAAGTGTTCCCCATTTGAGTACATTGTAGTATGTGCACACTTGTAACTAGCATTAGATCTTCTACTGTTGTTGATGTGGCTTCCAGAAATGTCTAGACTGTAATGCTCTCTAGAGTTTTTATGAATGTTATGAACATGCAAAGATATACTTGAAGGTCTGAGCATTTTACCCAGTCTCTCATCAAAGAGGCTAGGTGAAATTTTATTACCTCTCTCACTTTTGTTTTTTCTTTTGAATATGTATTGGTTAGTGTTGGCACTTCCCATATTAAGAATGTTTTATAAATATTATTCTCCCTGTGGAAATCCAGTATTCATGGGCAGACCATTTAAATCCAGCAACATGGATCCTTTTCATTAGTCAAAAAACGCATATTGTACTGGCTGCTTGAAAATAATATTAAAAATTATTAATTATTTGTTTACTCTATGCAACTTTTATTCTCTCAGTGAAAAAGTCTCCTGGTGCTGATGTAACCTGTACCTTACCCAGGCATTTCAGCAACTTCAAGGACCCAAGTCCAGTCATTTCTTTCACAGTACACAAACAATCAAGCCAAAATGGTAGTGCTGACTCTGTGGATGTAGTTAATGGAGATGACCATTATTTCTCTCATGAAATGGCATCATATAGGGATCAACCAATTTTTTTTAGGTAAGTTCTAGTCAAAGATTTTGAGCCTTGCAACTGTTCAGCTATTTTATTACTATATTAAAGCATTGTATTACAGTAATTTTCAGTTAGAATTAACAGGAATTATTTTGCTTTACATGTAATATTTTTATGTAGTGTTGCAAAGTACATGGAAAATTTTCTATTTACTTTTTCAAATCTTTGCATGCAGACAAAGAAGGTAAAATACAGTTAGAATTGTAGGATATGTGTAACCATAAATGAACAAGATGTCTCGCTGCCAGATAAAATGTTTGGTCTCTACAGTGGAAAACTTAGTCTAACTTAGGTATAACAATCAGTAAATAATGAGGAAAAATAATGTCATGGTGTAGAGGAGTTTTAGAGTAATAAAATGTTGTGAAATGAGATTTAAGAGTTCTACAGGTGACTATAAAAATTGCACCTTATTCGGTTTTCTGCGCCATATTGAAATCATTATTTAGAGAGAGAGAACGAGCACTATATATACAGTAAAAGCTCTGCTATCTGGCATCCCCTGCGAATGGGGATGCCAGATAACAAAATATGCCTGTTAATTGAGCGGCCCCGGCCGCCACTTCTTCTGGCGCATTGCCGCTGTCTCTCCTGCCGCATTGCCGCCCCTCCCATGGGCCCTGCGGGACAGAAGGTTGGGCCCCACACAGCCTGTTATGCCCCCAGGGCATGGGGGCTTGCAGCACAGGCTGCTCTGTCCTGGGCCATGGAGGCTCAGAGAAACCGGAAGTGCTACGGTGGGCACTTCCAGTTTCACTTTATCTTACAAGCCGGCATGCCGGTTAGTGGAGCATGCCCGCTTGTAAGATGCTGGTTAACAGAACTTTTACTCTGTGTGTGTGTGTGTGTGTGTGTGTGTGTAAACAGCTTAGTTAACAGAACTTTTACTGTGTGTGTAAACAGCTTAGTCTGCCTGTCCTTAATGCTCTTCATCAACTGTGTCTATGCTGCTGAGAGGGCGGCAAATGGCTGCTCAGGCCTGAGCAAGCATGGAGCGGGAGGAGGCGAATGGGGGGTGGGGTGGTCACAGTGGTGGTGCTGCCCGGCCCTGATGCCCCTCCATGCTTGGTGGGGCGGGGAACTGTTAGCTAAATTCCAGTTGGAAGGCCAAATACTGCCCTAATTTCACTTGTTAGATCCAGTGGAGTTAGTTGTACTGATGAAAATGAGGGCAAGGTTTGATTCCAACCAGGGGTATGTGAACGCCTTCTTGACTGGCTGCCAGGGGGACACTGACCCAAAAAGGTTGAAAACCTGCGGTTTACAGACACCCTTGTACTAGTGCAGTACTCAGAAAGAATACAGATATGACTTCCTGATAGTCTGAATATTCAGATCTGTCAGTTATAAACAGTTATTACATTGTTAGCTTGAATTTGCAATCATTGAAACAAACATTAAACTCCTCTCCATTACATTTTTACAGGAGCACAGAGTTGGCACATGCTGTAATGTGCATGGTACTAGACACTATAGTGATTTTATGCCTTTAAAAAAAGTAATGTAAATTATAGCATGAGAGGCATCTGTTTCTGTTTCATATAGTGGTTTTCCTGTTAAATGGATTAATTTGCTTCTCTCTCTCTCTCTCTCTCTCTCTCTCTCAAATTGGATATCCTTTGCAAATTTCAGAGAATTTCGATTTGCATCAGAAGTTCCAATACGACTTGATTACCACGGCAAACACGTATCGATGGATCAGGTTTGTTTACACTACTGAGACTATAAAAGTACAAGTAACGCTTCTGTGTTTCTTTCCACTGGCTGAGTTATTCTTTATGCCACCTGCCCAATACTGATGTTATCTGGAGCAATTTTGAAACATTATTCCCATAAATGTTCAGTAAAATTAAGTGTTGTTGAAATCTTAAATTGAGAAGATAGATGGTTAGTTGTGTTTAGTCTAAAGTTAGGCACAAGGTAGGGCCATGAACCAGTCATAGTATCTGATTAATTAGGTTGCTGTCTACAAAACCTCATGCTTCTCTGAACTAGTTAGTTTCCTTGTCCTACTTTCTAATTAAATTGAGAACAGAGGGATAGAGTCTAGTGGATATGATTGACCTCCATTCAGCTCAGGCCAAGGTGACTAAGGCCGAGAGCCCTGCCAAAGTGGCCACAAGCATTCCAGTGATGCCTTGGATGCATTCCTTGACACACCTCCAAATTGTTGGAGAGCCTTGTACCATCCATAGATTCCTCTTATACCACCTAAGTTGGCATGTCTCTTTTGTTCAGTCTTCTGACTCTATGACCTATGAAATGTATACAGTAATATTTGAGTGTGATCCAGTTAGTCGTTTCCCAACTGCAAAGATTTTTACTGAGTATTTAACTTGCAGGGTACTTTAGCTGGGATTCTGATCGGTCTTGCTCAATTAAATTGCTCAGAGTTAAAGCTGAAGAGACTCTGCTATCGACATGGGTAAGTTTGCAGATCTGTAATGTGAAGACTTTACTGTAAATTGCATGTGAATATTGTTTGTAACTAAATATAGCAGACAGAAAGTAAATACTGAGTTAGGTGTAGTTAAAATTTAAAACATTTTGCAATTATTTTATGAGCAGAAACTTCATTTTAATGGATGCTGTCTTGTTTAAAGGCATTTGGTGCTATGACTTTGGCAGATTTGGGGGCTGAGAGTTTACTAATATGATTTGGTAAAAGAACATATCTATATTGAGGCCAGTCCTTCAGTATATAATGACTGTCACATTAAAGCCTTAAAATGAAGTGTTTTCCTGAATAAAAGCCTAAAGTAGTACATGGAGCTATATTGTTTATCTGTCAAGATTTTCAACAAGCTTTCTTCCTTTCCATTAACTCCTTAAACTGATGCTCCCAAGTGGAATTCTGTAATTTGTTTGATGAGACTTAGACAAAAAACTGGGTCCTCCAAAAGTAGCAGAGCATGGCATTTCAACCTGGATTTCTCCAGTGTCAGAAAATGTCTTGTTCTATTAATTCAACAGACACGTGCCTCAAAGTATGTCATCTTTTGTTTTTGTAATACTAATAATTCTGTTTGGTTTCAGTTTGTTGGGTGTGGATAAATTATTCTCTTATGCTATTACTGAGTGGCTTAATGATATAAAGAAAAACCAACTGCCGGGAATTCTGGGAGGAGTAGGGCCCATGCATTCTTTAGTACAATTAGGTGAGTTCAGTTCTGTGCTTCCAGATTTTAGGTGCCTCTTGAAGGTATGAGAGTTTATCTAACAAGTTACTAAGTATGGCATTCTGTCGGTAATTTCAGTTCAAGGTCTGAAGGATTTGGTGTGGCTACCAATAGAGCAGTACCGAAAGGATGGTCGTATTGTAAGAGGCTTTCAAAGAGGAGCAGCTTCCTTCGGTACTTCCACTGCAATGGCAGCTTTAGAGCTAACAAACAGGATGGTTCAAACTATACAGGTGTGTTTTGCATTATAGTTGGGGTTAGACAAAGGAGGGCAAATTGTAGTAATAGGGAGCAACTGAATACCCCAGTTATGTTCTAGGTGACATGGTAAAGCTGGGTACAGGGTGCTGCACACAAAAAGGGCAGTCTTTGCCCTGGCACAGTAAAACTTGCTGTTATTTGATATAATTTGAAACACTTGCAATGTGGAAACATTGACACTAATAAAACAGGTGGAATGGGAGAAGATGAATTAGGATATGTTTTTAAATGCATATGATTTTTATTTGCATATTGGTAGGCTGTTATTTTTTCAATGTTACAGCCTTAAATTGCTGAAGTGAATAGTTTTTGTTTGTATAATCTAAAATTCTTTTGACATGGAGACTGTTTACCACTGTTTCCAAAGTCTTTATAACTTCAGTAAACATCAAAGTAACTTTATTTTAAAGTGAAAACAGTTTTATGCCTCAGATAAAAAATATATAATTTTAGTTCCTGAAGCTACAAATGTTGCACATGCTTAACTTAATGGACAATTGAAGTCAGCAGTGTCATTTGTGTGAGTCAGGTTATTCGCCTTCTTAGCTATTTGTAGGAGCTGAGCCTTGATTTTCAGTGTTTTTATTTTTGACTATTCAGTTTTGTAAAATTCTAAAAGATCCCTTGATAGTAATAACAACATAAACAAGCATTTCACTATAAACTTACAAACTGAAATGACACACTTTCCAACTTAACTTACAAAGCCACAGTCCAATTTTAATTAATGATTTATTTTCTTAAAGTTATTTAAATTGTCTTGATTAAATTACTCTACCCAGGTAAATGTTATTGCCCCAATACTCTGGGATGAGAGAAGAGGGGGCAAGGCTTAATTTCCCTCTTTTTTGCTGATGTGTGATAATTCAGGCTATGAAAGAAAAGAGACTATTTTGGGATGTAATATCAATATTCTAAGACTGTAGTTTCTCTTTAAATTATAGCTGCCCAGTGTTTTGACAGTTGAGGAAGGGAGGAATGCATGAAAAATGCTATTTTCACTCCTAAAAAAAATAGCTGAATTCTCCTAGTATTCTGTCCACCTTGCATTTGCTATAAATTGGGCTGGTTTTGATATGTGATCATATTAATGTTATGATTCTATTAATTTATTTTTCATCTCTTCTAATCCCTAGGCAGCTGCAGAAACTGCTTATGACATGGTTTCCCCAGGCCCTAGTTGTATTGAGACAAAAAAGATGAAGCGATTATCTCGCTATCGCTTGGCTCATCAGCCAGTAGATCTACGGGAAGGTGTGGCTAAAGCCTATAGTGTGGTAAAAGAGGTATGAGTAAATGCTGCTTATTTCCTTTTCCTTTTTTCCAAACCATATTTAAAAGTTGCTAATGCAAAATCTGCTATATGTATTAAAACATGGTTTTGAAATTATAAGAATATCATATTGAAATATGCAGACTTGCTCAGTAGACTTCACTGTATAGAAGCCTTGCACGTGGGAAGATTTGAGAAAAATTGTTAAACCAGGGCAGCCTGAAAAGGGAATTAATTAAATGAGGTGAATTAATGAACTGTATTCTACAGATTTTTCTTTTCCTACTGAATATCAAATACCTCAGAAGGATATGAAACTAACTTTTGACAATGTTTAGCGCTAACCTTCAGCATTTACTATTTAAGCAATTGCGTGTGCATAAAATAAATGTATGAGTCATGGATTGTGATGCGTTTTAAGTTTGGACGGTTAGGTGAGTTGTGGCTACTGTTTTATAGCTTAGTTGCATGCTTGATATTTTCCATAAGTAAAAACGTCCACTGTTTTTAGTCTGATTGTCATTTGGAGTGATCTTTATGTTATGACTGGAGCGAAGAAAGGATGTAAGATCAGTTGTACTGAGATGGGAAGCATTCAGTGAACAGAGTCAGCCTGGAAAAGTATCTTTTACACTGTTTGCTTGCAGCTGCTATCACCGCTGCCTGAGAAATTCTATAAGCAGTTATATTAGATCGTTCTTCCTACACTTTTAGTAAGTATTGGATAAAATTAGTGTTTAGAACCAAACTAAACTGTATAGGTATAGTCCGTTAACACTGTTGATGAAATCCACAAAAATAATCTCTGCTGAGTAATTTAGATCACTGACAAAATTAGAGGGGGGTGGATTTTCTCTTGGGTAACCACTTTCTGTTAATCTTTGAAGGGGATTACAGACACTGCCCAGACCATCTACGAAACTGCTGCTCGTGAACATGAAAACAGAGGGGTAACTGGAGCAGTGGGAGGAGTCCTCCGCCAAATTCCACCAGCTGTTGTGAAGCCTCTCATTGTTGCAACAGAGGCAACATCAAATGTGTTAGGTGGAATGCGAAACCAAATTAGGCCAGATGTACGTCAAGAAGAGTCTCAAAAATGGCGTCTTGGTGAGGATTGATATTTTGATCTGGCTCAGCATGAGGCTGGGAGTATAAGAGATGATGTCCAAACAGCAGCTGTAGATGGAACTCATTTCATTATGCTCATCTCAGGAACAGAAGAGGTTTTCAAACAGCTTGATGGCAGAACATCCAACCAAAAACTTCAGCAATGAAAAGCAAAGTGGTATTTGCTTGTGGACATGCTGCATGTTACCAAACCATTTGGTAGCTAGTGCCAAATATAGTGGAGCATTTGCTGCCAAGTTAGAGACATGCTTGCTTTATTTCATTTACCATGTTTTCCTTGGTACATTTGATGTGTCATTAACAGCAGTCCATCTGGTCACACTAGATATATTTTGAAATGTTTTCTTGAGTATGCTCAAACTGTCTTCAATAAAGGGCTCCACAGATGCTTTTTGGTAACTGAAAGATAAAAGTTTTAACTTGTGTTGTGATTGGGAAGCCATGATATGGAAGCAGATAGGATTTTGATGATTTTGTGTTGATGAACATTGCTTTTAGTATAGGACTTAAAACAAGGGTAATCTCTCAGTAACTGTTCCGAATTTAGACTAATTTTTTCTGAACAAGAATTGTTCCTTCTAAATATCAAACTCCTATTTTTTGTGGGTTTTTGAAGAACCTGAATGTTGCAGACATGTTCTGTTGTGTTGCACTTTAAAGAATATGCCTGTATATTTTGCTTTTTTATAGTGTTAATAAAATGTAATGTGCATTATTCTTTTATGTGGTTTAGAGACTTATGCAAATTATTGAAAGGGACATCATTTGATGAAGACCCTAAAAAACAGAACACAGAATAAGATGTGTCTTACATTTGTTTATTTCTGATAAGAGGTACCAGTTTCTTTGTCGTCTTGTCAACCAGCAGCTATGCTAAAAATAGCTGTACTCTTAAATAGAAGGCTATTACAGTATTGTGTTAGGTAGGAGGAGTTTCTTGGCAAGATGAGGTCCCTAAACCAAGTAACAATATTTCATTTAATAGTTTAATTAAAATGCTACGCAGCATGTATTTTAATAAGCTACCTTTTATTTAAAGATTCCATTGTTGCACAGTAGTGTTACGGCACTCAAACAACATGGCATTTTTAAAAATTCCGTTAGTACAGTGTTGATTATCTGAATGTCATGAAGGGACATAAATTAAAATAAGCTAATTAATATTGGGGCTAGTCCATGTTTGTTAGATACATAAAGAACAAACAAAAACTCAGAACTGATCTTTACATTGTTTCCAGGTTCCCTGGGAACCCAATTGTCACTTGAGGGCAGGGCCTGGGCAGATCTTATTAATGGAGTATGGCTAGTAGGTGAACAGGCAAAACTGCTGAGAATGAGCTGTAGAGTAAACCCCCTATACCTGGACTTCTGCAACAAGTGCGGGAGATAGAAGATGAGGAGGAAAACCCTCCCAATTGTTGACAGTTTGAGTGTGGGGGATGATTAGCTAGACCCTCAGTTGATGCAGTTGCTGTCCTTGCCAAATAGAAGCAGTGCAGACTTGCTACATCCAGTTCTCTGCTAGAGGGAGGAATGCTTAAGAAGCTTTCAAGGTGTTAAGCAAGGAATGGACCTTCCTCCTTTATTTTATTCCCTGCCAGCAACAACACTGCACCTAGTGCTTGATCCCTCATGGAAAATAGCAAAAGGTACTCACCAGATGGAGAGGAAGAACCGTGGCCTACTTGCCCTAGCAGTTTGCTACCCATTCCTAAGTAGTAGCTGAAGGACAGCTGAGTGACTTACAAGCAGCCTATAAAGAAAACTGCCAGTTAACATTCTTCTTGTAAACAGATGTTCAGTTAAAAACAATGTTTTGATCAGAACAGCATACTGCTGGCTTTGCTTTATATCTAAAGAATGCACTTAATTGTGGTGGTACTCCTGGTCAAATGACTGGTTGTCTCATCCCAACTGAGCAGATGCAATTAAAAAAACAACACCTGGAGATCAATAGCATGAATGACTATACTGTAATAAAAATGCTTGTGGCATCTCATGTTTTTTTCCCCTCACCTAATCAATATTTGGCAATTTCTTTATTTTACACCAATAACCACTTGGTGCCTCTTGAATGCATCATCACTAAGTGGATTTATGCTAACAATAATAATCATTATGCATTAGTTGTTACTATGTGCTATTACCAGGCTACATGATTTCTCTCAGAAATATTCCAGCATAGAAACCAAGCTGGTTAGGTGTGGCCCCATTATTTGGAGTATATCCTACCTCCATAGCAGCATAGTTCTGCACATCTGTCATATACATAAACTCTTTGACATAGCTGAACTTAAGAAGTCATTCATTTTGTTTTCAAATTTTCCATGATCAACGTTTACAGTAATACACTTAGAATATATTTTCTATCCAGAGACATGCTGTCAAGGTCAAATAGTATATTTTTATAAGCTGCCTTTTTTGCAGTCTGTTAATAGTGCACATTTTTAAACTTCACTTTTCACTATTTCTATTGGCTGTTTAAGTCTTTACATTTCATTCACCCTGCTTAATGAAACCAGTCTTTTAATGGCCAGCTGCTTGGTTTACATGTTCTATACAGGCATACCACACAGGAAACACCATGCCCTTCCCAAATGCTATTCTAATCTTCCTCCCCTGCCGCATCCGGTGCTCTGTTTTCTGCTGTGTCCTGTTTGCCACCGTGCTGCCTACCCACTTCCCAGTCCGTCACATGCAATGTACAGAGGGTCCCCCTGCTACTTTTATGTTTGCCACAGGTTGGCAATTGGCAATGCCTAATGTGTTATGAATGCTGCAGGGGATTTTTTTAATATTACAGCAAGAATAACAACCTTTAAATTCAGACAGTGTCCCCTTAAGATGTTCTGTGGACAATCTATGCTCTCAATCAAAAAAAAAATTGTAGAAGATGTACAAAAAGGGATTCACCAAATATACTGTTCATCACCATAAGTGTGTTGAGCAATTTACAAAATGAGTTCCCTGTTTCGTAGATGTTATCTCAGAAGTGGACAGATGTAGTGCTACACTTCTCCATTAGCATGAGGAGAAGGGTCACAGGGTTATCAAACTTGAATTCTCCACTGTAAAAACTGTTATAGTTACTAACACTTTTCATGACTTTTAGGGAGTGTATGCAGGTGCAATCTGTACAATTTACATATCACGTGGATGTAAAATAATGTACACAGCTTGATAATTTGTTTTTTTTTCCTTTTTCCATACAAAAACTCAATAAAGTTATTGAGTCAACTGACACTACCTTTACTATTGTGTAGTCTGATGTTCTCCAGAGAGACAGGCTTAGAACTGTCATCTTCATTTTCTTAAGCTTCTTGGCATGTAAAATACTAGTGATACGTGTCCTGGAATTACCCGAGAGCTTTTCTGTCCTTCTAAGAAAACCTCTTTATAAACACCTCACCTGGGATTGAAACGAACCTGTGACCACTTCCATTCAGAGGAGACTTTCTCGTATTAATTGAAAGCTGCTAAATTTCAGGACAGAACGCAATTCTAATGATGCAATGTATTCAGTACTTGCTTTCTGATTCAGGAGGTTAGGATAGGTCAGTGATTTCACACACTGGTGGATGGTAGATGTATTCATCTTTCATCAGTGAAAGAACATGGGTGTGGGGGTTAATCTTTTAATTGCTCCTAGTTATTTTATCAATGTTTCAATGTTTGATGTAGCTAACAAGAGATGGGTTTCCTTGCTAGAGCAAAATGCCATTTAATGGCAAGATGGCATCAAGAAGCTAAATTCCTTTTTTGCTGGACTTGTTCCAGACACCTGAAAGTGTGACACCTGAATTATTTCAAGTACATTCAAATATATTTATTTGCAAAACAACAGTGAAATCCAGAAGTTAGTTTAGATTAAGTGCATATTCCTCATGTCTCAGATTTCACAGCAATACAAGCTTCTTCAACATAAAGATGGTAGATACTAAATCAGTTTAGCTGCGTCTTTTCATCTAGCTCTAATCCATGTCTAGTCTTCACAGTCTCTGCTGTTTTAACTTTGCTCTAAATTTTCCCAATCTTGTTTACAATAAAAGTAATCACAAAATTAGTTTAAAATGTTAATCATGCATTTATACTGGATTTCTTAAAGCTAATACAGCTTAGACAAAAGAGGAATGGTTTGTGTATATGTATCTGTATATTTTTTTACATATTTGTAGTCAAAGTAGTTTTGTGGCATTGTTTGTATATAGTCTGCTAGTGTAAAGCCTGTATAATCTTATGACATCAGAAACCACTCTTGAAGGGAATTTAAATATTTAATCTTCCTTTATTTTGCTTAAAGTACTTGTACCCTCAATACATGTTTGGAGAACTATTTTTAGATCATAAGTTCACCAATCTTGATGTATATTAAAATGATAAAAGGCCTTGTACAAATAGGCTCCTCTGTTAAATATATTTAACAAAAAACTGTGGATTGTTGATACATAAATAAACATCGTAATCTTCCTTGAGTCGGTTTTCACTACTAAATGTATATATTTAGTATAGAATATGACTTTAAAATAGCAGATTTGGCTCTTAAAAGTATTTAGCCTTCTCAGTGACCTAGTTATTTGGCATTAAATGTTCTTACATATTGTTTGCATATAAGGTTGCACAGGTATATATAATCCTAACTTTAGGCTGCTTTGCAATGCACTTCAACCCCACTGTTCATATGTGTTCTGAAACATTCTTAAAACTACATGAATACATATGGTCTTTCCCTGCCACTCATCATTCAGTGAATTCTAGTTACTCACTATTTCTTTTTATTTTCCATATTCTGTCCCTGGTTCCAGGTCTTTATTTCTGCCCACCATTCACATTCAGCACAGAATACAAAATTATTTGTTTATTTCAGGGTGTTTTCTGTTGTGCTTTTAACTGTAGCACCCAAGTGCTTCATAAACTTTTTTTTAAACCCCATTTGCTATCTTGGGACCCAAGGCACAAAGTACGTAGTATTTTTATAGCCCTTCATAATGTTGAAGAAGCATCTCTTATTGACTTACATTGCAGCTAGGAGTGCAGAGCACTTCTACAGTTCTGGTCTCTGATGTTTCACAATGGATATCCAGGAAATAAAGAACAAACAATTAGTAACAAGCTGTGAAAAGTGCTTTAAGATATTTGCCCAGAATCACACAGGAATTCCTTACAGATGCAGGGATAGAATCTAATTCTCCAAGGACCCTTCAACTTTCTGAAGCAAGATACCATCCTGTCTCTTCCAGACTCATTTACTACACATACCTCAACCTCAGAAATAAAAGGAGTAGAGCTTCTAGGCTAAGTACAGACGTCAAAAAGCCTGAGACTGAATCAATTCAGTCTTTGCAGGTTAGTGCAAGCAGCATGACTTGAACCAATAAGCAAGTGAACAGATAGTCACTGGAAAATGCAGCCACATGCCTGCAGTTGCCCAGGACACAAGCCAAGGGGTGCCAAAACCAATCTCCCTGTTCTGCTGGATCAGTCAGTTTAAATCTGGAGGGGATCTGGGACAGAAGTTCAATAAACTGATTTAACCTAAATCGACTAAGTCTGATACTACATCCAGGTTTATTTTTAAAAAGTTTCAACCATTTTATGTGCACTAAACTTCTGTTGTGTTACAGATTTGGACTGGTTTCTGATCACTTATACTGGCTTGTGTGCAACTTCTGTCCCTATCCCTACAGACAGTAGCCTCTATCATGCAATCCTAATGCGTTCCCAGAATATTATCCATTCAGTGCACTGAATATGGCCTGGGTCCTGTAGGGGAAAAGATAACCACAGGAAAAAAAAATGAACAAACAGTGAAACAGGTGTACAACTTTTTACTTTGGATTAAAGCATTCCTTACTCTCGGAAGTAGCTGGTTTCTTTTCCTAAAAGATTTACAAATACGTTTTATCCTGGACAAAAGTACTCGGAGGAAAACACCAGCCTGGATTGTCTGCTTGACAATTGGGTGAACAGCCGATTACACTCTGGAAAGTGTCAGGGAAATTTGATTATGAAATATATGCATTTTACCAGCTGCACCTATACTGCAGAGCATAAGTCTCATTTTCTTGTTTGTAAGCTCTGTGGAGGGGATTGTATCTGCTAGTCGAAGGCTTTCCAAGGATGGGTTCTCTGTGGAACTTACAGGAAGTCGGGGTTCAAGCTTCCCCTTTTCTGAGCTTTGTGTTCTAGGGGAGTGCCCTAAATGCCCCCACAGGCTAGACTCACCTCTTTGCCTAGATCTAAACCTTTAATTCCCCCATGTGCTCAGATAAACTCTGGAGAGCAGCCTGTTGTAGTGGGGTTTAGCAAGCTGGAATTGCAGGCATGAAGGTATAGGTAAATACCAAAGGAGGCTTGTTTCTCTTAAGCTTTCACAATACCGGGAAGAGCTGGTGCCTTGCTGTCTCCAGACTAGTCAAAAGGAAGAAGACTGAGAAACCACAGGCTCTTTGTATGGAATACCAATCTGGATAACAGCACCTGGTCCTGCTGGCCTGCAGTTTGAAACCAGATCATCTGGAGACCACGCAAACTGGAGAGTTGATCTTTTCCTGTAAGTCATTTTTCTTTTCCCCCTTATGGGTGATTAGAGAGGACTACCCACTTCTTTATTGTTCATTTCTGTAACGCTTCCAAAGTTTCCTTCTAGTTCCTTTCCCAAGAGCTTTCCAGTTTGGGAGTTAATCTCTGGCAATTCAGGTGCCAAATAAACTCTTACAAACCAAAATACATGTTTACTTGTTTGCAAAAAAAATTTTGGTTGACCTGTCCGCAAAAGCAAGTGGAAAGAGCTGCCAAAGGTTAGGTGTGCACACATACATGGAAACCACCTTTGTACAGATACAAAAAAGGAAAAAAAAAAGGATACAATGTAAACCTCTGCACCACTGTAACCTACTGGAATCTCTTGTAGATTTAACCCAGGAAAAAACAATAGAAATAAACAGGTGCAACTTTACCAGCATAAGTACAGTGTGATATTGGGGATGCCCATTTACTTAATGCAAACAGTCTGTCACATCTACTCCCCACTACCTAGCGGTGAGGCTGCTGTAACAGCTGCCCGGGGATAACTAATTGTCTGTCTATTCCAGACCCCAGTGTAATTTGCATCAGCGTAAAAAAAAAAAAAAAAAGTCATTGCAAGTTACACCAGTGTTAATCTATTGTGTGTCCAGGGCCTAAATTAGCAAGCACTTTGGGACAGGAACCATTGCTTTTGTTCTATGTTAGTACAGCAGTCCCATGATGAGGTCCCCATCTATGAATACTGCTCCTAGACACAATGGTAATACAGGTCATAAATATGTGCAGCTTCCTCTAGATCAGGGTTTCAAAGATATGTCCCACAGGCTGGATCCAGTCCACAGAGCCTGCCATCCAGGCTGAGGTGCTGCCTATGGGTCTTAGACTGGCCCCACATGCTGGTCCAGGCCAGTCCAAGGTGTGTGCTGCACGAAGTACACAGGGTTGGTCTCGAGTGTTCACTGCATGTAGGGCCTACACTTGACCACCCCTGGACACTGAACCCAGTGTGCAGGGCCAGTCTGTAGGCGTGGACCAGCCCTGGACCCCTCATCCAGCCCAATTAGAGGAGTTCGATACCTGTGCTCTAGGTAAGTGAAAAGGGACTGCAGGAAATGATTCAATAACAGATAAACTGGCTCAGACTTTACATACACAGGACATTGAAAATCTGCTGTGCAACCTTGACAAATCCTCCATTTCTGTGCCTCTTGTTTTCTTCCAGCCCTTTGCCTATCTATTTAGATTGCAAACTCTTCATGATGTTTGTACAGCGCCTAACACCATGACCTCTAACCTTGATTGCAGCCTCTATGCACTACCATCTGTAAGCAAGAAATATAATTATGGCTATTTTTAGGCAAGATGGTCTCCGACTCTGGAGAAGCAGAAGATTGATTCATAGATTCATAGATTCTAGGGCCGGAAGGGACCTCAATAGATCATCGAGTCCGACCCCCTACATAGGCAGGAAAGAGAGCTGGGTCTAGATGACCCCAGCTAGATGCCTATCTAACCTCCTCTTGAAGACCCCCAGGGTAGGGGAGAGCACCACCTCCCTTGGGAGCCCGTTCCAGACCTTGGCCACTCGAACTGTGAAGAAGTTCTTCCTAATGTCCAGTCTAAATCTGCTCTCTGCTAGCTTGTGGCCATTATTTCTTGTAACCCCCGGGGGCGCCTTGGTGAATAAAACCTCACCAATTCCCTTCTGTGCCCCCATGATGAACTTATAGGCAGCCACAAGGTCGCCTCTCAGCCTTCTCTTGCGGAGGCTGAATAGATCCAGTTTCTCTAGTCTCTCCTCGTAGGGCTTGGTCTGCAGGCCCTTAACCATATGAGTGGCCC